TTTCTCCTCTTCTCTTCTTTGTTTTTGTTTTATGACAACTTTAATTCTAATCCATCTTCTTACTATATTTCATTAATGGGCCTAATTCCACTTACTCATTCTATTATGACATAAATCCCACTTTTAATTATTTATTATTCTTACTTATAACTTAAATTATTCAAATAACACATATATTCAAATAATTCAAATATTCACCAAATCACACAGTTAAATCAATTACTATATAATATAATAATTAATAATATAATAGTAAATAAAAATTAGGGTGTTATAGCTGCGAAAGAGCTTGTTTGAATTGGAGGAGGGCTTGTTCGCACTCCTCGGTCCATTCCAACTTCGCTTCCTTGTGAAGAAGTTTGAAAAGGGGAAGTGCGTGTTGGGAAGACTTTTCTACGAAGCGGGATAACGAGGTGAACATCCGTTTAGGGATTGAATTTATTTCTTCGAGTTTGGTGTTATGAATTCGGAGAAGGCCCTAAATTTTTCGTGGTTCGCTTTAATTCCTCGTTCTGTTAGATAGAAGTCGAGTAAATTACCTGCTCGAATGTCGAAGGTGCATTTATCCGGATTAAACCTCGTCTTGTATCTCCTCATCTGGTTGAAGACTCTCTTCAAATGGGATGTATGATCAAATTCCTCTTGGGATTTTACGATCATGCCGTCCATGTAGACTTCAAGCATGTCTCCAATCTCACTTCAGAAAACTTTGTTCATCATTCACTGGTATGTAGCACCAGCATTTTTCAAGCAGAAAGGAATTATGTTATAGTAGTAGTTGCCCAACTCGATCATAAAGGCCGTGTATTTTTTCAGTCTTTGTCACGGGGATCTGGTTGTACCCTGAGTAAGCATCCATAAAAGACAATACTTTAAATCCAACTGAATTATCAACTAGTCTATCTATGTTAGGTAAAGGGTAAGCATCTTTAGAGTAAGCCCTGTTGAGATCGGTATAATCAACGCAAATTCACAATTTTCCAAAAATTTTCACAAGTACAACATTTGAAATCTGGGTCATGTATTGGGCTTCTGAAATGAAAATTTGCCTCTAAGAGGTCTTTTACAACATTTTACGCAGTCTCCTCTTTCTTGGGAGACTGCCTATGCCTACGTTGAACTACAACCCTAGCAACATGATCTATGGTCAGCTGGTGGTAAGCCACTTTAGGGTCCAGTAAGGGAATCTCAACAATACTCCATGCGAACAGGTCAACATTCTCTCTTAAGCAAGCTTTCAAATGCTTCCTTGTGAGTTCGGGAAAGCCAATGCCAATCTTCACTCCCTTGTTTTGGTAGTTGCCGAGGAGGATAACTTCGAACTCACCGTCTGAAATGGGACACCTAGGATTTGGAGGCTCCTCGTTGTTATCTGGTGCTAAGGAGCTTTCCACTGCTAGCCAAGTTTCCATTTCTTTCTTCTTTTTCTCCTTCAAGTCATTTTGGGTGATGTGACTGTCAAGGTAAATTGAGTCGACATGAGGTACTGGCTTTGGTTCTTTCGAGTTGTTGGGTCGTGCTGGCTTGTCAATAATTTTGGGTGCCACATTGATGGAGTTCTGTCCCTTTGGCCTCCCTAGGATGCACTAGTATATAGATGGGGAGTCTATCACCAGGAATTGGACTTTGACCGATTTGGAATTATTGACATATCCTCATGGCCTTATAGTCGCGCCGTTGAAGCCTCGTAGATTACAACCCATGTAGGGTGTCAAATGTGTCTCTTTGAGATATAAAGTCTAGAATAGATGGGTGTACATGATGTCGACTGAACTTCCCTGATCGATCAGAATACGGAGGACGTCAAAGTTCGCCATTTACGCTCTCACAAGAAAGGGGATGCTGGAGTTGAGATATCCACCGGGAAGCCCCTCGCGGTAGAATGTGATAGGAACTGAGCTTCCCCGACACTTGTCGAGGGTAAAATTCTTTCTCGAGCTCGCATCGGTTAGCTCCTTGAATTTTATTTTTAATGATCCTATGATGAGTTTGTCGAATCCCACCGAATATGAACATGAATGAGGGGAAGGTCTCCCACATACTGTGTTTAGAAAAGTAGATGAGAGTTTAGGCCTTGTCGGGGATATAGAAGTCCTCAGGTCGGGAGATGCACATGGAGATCTGCAGGTTGACAGTGTCGTCAAAGGGTGGATTTTCCTCCTTGAACTTCTTTGCTTCTCAGGCGTTGTTTGCTAATCAAGTGTCACATGCAAGTATTCATTTATGTTTTATTACATCAAGTGATAAAGATAAGAGTACCGTACCCACATGGAGTGTATAAAAAGTTACTTTGGTTAATTTTGCAACTAACTATCTTTGAGTTTTAAGCATGAGTAGAGATAAATAATATTTGGTGTTGTTATGTTCAGAGTTTCACTTAAAACAAATCTAAATAGTGTAAAGAGAGAGAGTGTTAATATATCAAGAGTGAATGAGTTGATCCATGATCCATTAATATTTTAGACGTAAATATGTGAGATGATTTTTAGTGTCATAACTGGTGAGGTCAGAGGTATCTTGTGGTGTATCTCAACAACATCAAATCATGCTTAACAAGGGAAAGGGAACAAATCTCTAAGACTCACTTATAACCCTAATATGTGTCTGTTTGTATTCTGAAATCTTCAATAATTGCAGCTCCTTATCTCTAAGCAAACTAGGTAAGTGAATATCTCTATCCTACCCATTCAACCATTTTTATTAAGAAAACCACTTATTGTTGGATCTCTCACAACAACAAGCTGTTATTTATTCCTAAGTTGGCCAGACAAAGAAACATAATTATAAACAAGTTAACATATAATAAAACAAGTCACTAAACCACACATCATATGACATAAAAACAACTTAATATTAACTTCACGTTGCTCAACTACAAAAGGTTTAGTTTATGATGAGCTGAATATAAACTACAAACTTGGTTCTCAGAAGGAACATCCTTAAAAAATAATGAAAAAGAGATATAAACCTAAGAGAGTCTTGAGAACTTCTTGAGATGTACAATCTTCAAGAGGTGACTCTAGTCGCATCAGAGCTCAACCGCAGGTACATGATTTGGTGAGAAGAAGAAAACTTTTCTACTCTCCACTTTCCTCACACTTAGTATCTTCTGTATTTTTTCTTACAAATGTTGAACTCCTCTCTCAATATCAGCAAATTCCTATTTATAGACTTGAGTTAGGGTTTGGCAATGCATTGGATCATGAGCCTAATACAAGAAAATTACATCAATCCCAATATAAAAATTTGTACCATCACTTCAGTTCTTATGCTTAGCCAACAAGGAACTGGTACAAGGGAACAATTATGGGGGACAAAGCATCTTGGGAAGACTACCACAACAGGTTGCATAGAGTACTTTCGTACTATATTTTGTCTTCCAGTGCCTCAAATCCTTATCCTTTGAGTTCAAATGAAATTTCTCCAAAACACAACAAAGATTCCTTCTAATGCTTTCATCCTTCCACATTTTCCCTAGAAACCAACTGACTTCATTATTATTTTCCTTTTTTCCAAGTCTAACTTCTCTCTTCAGCTTGTGCTCTTTGTTACAGACGACTGCAGTCTTGTCTCAACTCGACAAAGTTAACCTTAAATTAAGCAAAAACACATTAAAACATAAAAGGGAGTATCTGTTGTGCTCCAAGCAAATTACTATGAAAACATCTAAAATGCAATAAAATAACAACTAAAAGCAAATTAAGTACTAACTAAAATAAAGATTAAAGCATGTATTAACTCACAAAAAGTGGGTTAACACACCCCCAAGCTTTAACCATTACATGTCTTCAGGTGATGTTGTTTCACCCCAAAATTTGCCCTCATCTCCTAACTCTAATTGGTTTTATGTTTCACATTCATTTGCATATTCCATTAGGCCGTAAACTCACAAAACATACATTTTCATGAGTTCCTAAGGCATGAGATTAAGAGGTTCTGTGAATCGAGGTTTTCTTGGCTAACAAGGTTTTTCTCCATGCTCAGAAGTTTTACACTTAAGTTGAAATTGAGGTTTTGAATCATGTCATCACAAGCATTGTCTTTGTCAAGGCTCGTCAAGATACAATGTCATCTTCTTCTTCAGGTTTTCTCATCAAGTGTTAGGGTCATCAAAGTTTCAATTGAGAAAGCTAGAGCTTGATTTCTTCAATAACCCAAGTCATTCCCTCATTCATTGAGAATTTCAAGGAAAGATTAAGTTTTCCTATTCTTTGTGATTTAACTTGTTGGTGTTCACCAATAGAATATCACATGGTTAGGGTTCCATTACTACACTTCATGTCTTATTCTCACCTTTGTTGGTGTTGACCAATAGAATATCACATGGTTATGGTTTCATTACTACACTTCAAGTCTTATTCTCACCTTCAAAAGTTCTCAGAGCGTTTCCTTTGTAATCTTTGGTTATCAAGAGTTGTGAAATCCCGATGGTTGTTACAAAATAAGAAGCAAGAAATTATTTATGATCGAGGCGTGTTCATCATCCCATTTGTTTATGGCTTGTCATGCAAGATACTTTCAAGGCTTGTAAGGTTTTCATTGAATTAAGGATTGATTCACGTGATGATTTAATTTCAAATTGTACAAGTTTGTCAGAGATGGATTAAGGTGTGGTTGAAGGTTTTAAATGGTTTTATTGGCATTCAAATGACAAAGACATTGGTTCATCATCATTCATTCATGTGAAGCCCATTGATTTAAGGTCTATTCCTCCTTATGTTCATTATCACTCATTCAAAAAAGGTTCAATAGATTCAAGCATCTTTCAGGTGGTAAACCGATTTGAGGTTTTCTTGGGTTCCATTCATCAAAGTTTCAAGGTATGGCGTTCAATGTTCACCAAGAATCATCCATGTATATTCAAATACATTCAAGGTCCTTACAAAATACAAAGTTCATTCCATACATATAAAGCATTACAAATTAATTCCTAAATTTCTAAGTCCTAAAACTATTGGAAACTAGTGTTTGAAGTAATCTTTTCCATGCCAAATATCTTGCTAAAACCATGCCATGACCTTGGCACTAGACATGTCCAACATCAGCTTTACGACATCCAAAAAATATTGCTCAATTTTCTCCAAGGAACTTGCACTACTAGACATGTCCAACATCAGCTTTATGACATCCAAAAAATATTGCTCAATTTTCTCCAAGGAACTTGCATCAAGGTTGCAAAACACCACTTGCAAACACTTAATAAAGTCAAATCGAAACTCTATTAAACCTGCAAAAAAAGACCAAAACAAGAACTAATCAATTCAGCCCGTATCATTACAAAACCAGTCCATAACATAAAACTGCATTACACACAAACCGTGAGGTTTAAAAAAAACATCAGGACCAACACACCAAAGCTGCACATGTACCCATTGAAACAAACTAGCAACTTTGCATAAAGGGCCTTGCTATCTACAAATCAGAAATATCAAAAGGAATATAATACAGAAGAGGACAAAAAGACAGCTCAGCAAAAACTTTTCAAGCAAGCTAAAACTCAGATTCAATCTACACCACTCATCTTTGTAACAAACTCTTAATCCAAGGGCTAAAGTTGGATTCAATCCTAACAAGCTTTTCACAGGTTTTCAGCTATATAGACTACACAAGTCATTCACAGAAGAAGACCATGGATTCAACATAAAAAAATTTCAGAGAAAAAACTAAGAGAGAAAATACAGAGGGAACTCACCAAAGAAATCTAAAAAAAACTCTCTCCGAAATCTCTGCCTCCTTCATACATGTTCTGCAAAAAAACTCTCTCATCAATCTCAATCAACAACCTCTCTCTCTGAACCGAATTCACCAAAAACTTCAACCTTCAATCTTCTGCTTCCTCTGCAACTTCATCAACACTGCTTCATCAACCTCCTCAATACCACCGCCAATCTTCATCATTATCATCAAGTTCCCGCATCATCAATGCATCAATCTCGCGTATCAGAATCGCACAAAACAATATCACAAACGCGTACAACAACACCGTTCTGCATCCTGAATTTCAACAACAATCGTAACACAGAAATTTCGAGAACAAACCGAAAAAGTAGAAGCCGAATCGGAGATGCTTTGACTGAGAAGCTAAGGTGAGGTGATGATGAAGCAGACATCGACGGAGCATAGACGATGACGAACGGAGACGGAGGTGAGAGGAGATCGTGAAATCGTGCGGTAGCCTTTTTCTTTCTACTTTGTCTTTTATTGTTTTTATTTTGTTAATATGTTAATAGTGCTGATTTGAATTGGTTATTGGATGGGATTGGTTGGGCCAAATATCTCAAGGCTTCTATCGTTTTTTTGGCAATTTGAGCCTTGAAACAAAAACTCCCGGTAGACCTTGTTGATTGGACCTTGTATTAACCTTCTAACCACACATGAATCTAGTTTACACCTCCCTTAGTTTCTTTTTTAGTTTACTTTTATTTTTCTATTTTTGTTTGTGTTAGTTTTAATTTCTTTCCATGATTTTAAAATGATACAAAACAATAGTAGAATATGCTAGTTGATTTTAGAATTTCTCTTGTAGAATTTAATTGAGAATTTATCTTTAGTTTCCTTCACCTTTCATGATTAGTTTTGTCGTTATTTTCTTGCCATGATATTGTGATAGCGTGTTGATTTGTGATATTGAGCGATTGAGGATGAATTTTGTTGATCGCTGATTTCTACAAGTGTTCTTGAGCTATTTTGCGACTTTGAAGACGCAACGAACATTTCTCCGTTAGGTATTGCTTGGATCTCTTTTATCTCTCTTTCGCACATCATGTTAGGATTTTATTAATTTCTAGAAGCAAATAGCGTAGTTGTATCTGAAGTCCTACCTCGAAGTAGGAAATGTTTGATTGGAAGTCCTAGGCAATGTTTGATCTGAAGTTCTACCTCGAAGTAGGCAATTTTTTTTGGTGCGCGCTTGAGCAATATTTTTTATGCTGCAATTGGTTGATGATCGTTTAATTGTTGACCTAATTTTTGAGATTGTTCTTTGTGAGGTCTTATTCTTGAGACATGTTTGGATTTAACCTCTTATTCATGATTGTCTTATCTCATTCTTCTTGTGGCCATCTCTTTACCTTATTTGTTTGGTTACTTTTGTTTAGAGGACTAGTCTCCACTTAGGAATGTTTGTGACCATGTGCTTGTGTGATTTTGTTGTGCCTCTTTTTCAAGAATGAATGTATGGCGATGATGAGTTCTTTATGCCTTAGTTGCTGACTTTTGTGTCCCTTTCATCTCTTTCACTTCACTCCACCTTCTTATGCCATGATTGGTTAGGCAATTGATACATAGAGCTTCACATGCTAGTGTGCTTGTTTGTTTGCCTTATCTTGTGCCCCTCATGCTCATACCTCTTGTATATGACCCTTAGGGTTTGTTTAACATGTATTGGTGTTTACTTTGATGTGAATTTTCTATCTTATAAGTGTTTGATGCATGCTTAGGATTTGAGCTAATGTTTGCAACTTGTTTGAATTTTGTCTCTTCTTACCATGTATAGTTGTTTTGATTAGGAAATGTTTGATAACATAAGAACTTTGTGATGTGTTGAGATATCTTAAAGAATATTTAGACTTAAGTATTTACCTCTTGTCTCCTCTTGTTTGTTGCTTGGTTTAAATTAGTATCATTCAAGTGTTCACTTCCTTTGTGTGTTTGTCACTTCTACTTACCTAGTTAGGTTGCTTTCATTGTTGTTTGACTCATGATGCTTTGTTTAGGGTAGAGTTAGACATATAACATGTTAGGGGAAGTAGTTTTGAGGTGTTCGGTGTTTTCTCTTAATATGCCTAATTAGTTGATGAATCCATATGTGTTTGCTTGTTTTCAAATCTTGGTTAAGTGTTTGATGCTTGCTTTTCCTCTTCTTCTTTTTTCTTTATCTTGTAAGAGCACATGTTCCCCATAGGATTTCTTTGGTTCATTATTGTTCAAGGTTAAACTAAAGTAGATCCTAGGATTGATATCTATGCATGACAACATTAGGTAGTTCCATTAATCTTCGCCTATAGGTTCATCTTTTCATGCTAACATTAGGTAACTTTCCCTTTGTTATCCTAACTCTAGGACCATATTGCATAACAACATTAAGATATTTAGTTTCCCTTATAATTTTTCTTTCCCCTTTTTGCATCTTTAAAACTAAAACTTCCTTTTCTTAATAAAATCTCAAAGCACTTAACAATAAAGAGGCAAACCATATGTCATGAGCCTTAAGTATTGGGAGAAGTATAAGGCGGTGCAGTCTGAACTTTGTGCTTCCTTTCTGTTAATTCTCTAGTTTTAGGATTGGCATTAACTTTAGTAAAACAAATATAGCAACAATATGTTAAATAAGATATGATTACTTGCAATGAAGAACAGGTTGAGCAAAAAGTCCTACTTTATGTTGGGACATGTTGAGTTGAAGTGTTTCAACATCTAGAGCAACATGTCGGATAAGATGTCTTATGCATTGTCATACGACATCTCGCCTGAGCTGAGCTGGTTTGTTAGATTCTGTTATGATCTAACAATTGCATAATATTATGAGAATATTATGCAATATTATGTGGCATTGATTTGTAGGTCTGGAAGAATCAAGTCAGAATATTGAAGAATATGTAGTTTCTAAATATGGAGATATTTTAGAAACTAATGATTGAAGACCTTGTTTGTAGCAGAATCTTATGCTGATTTGTAACAACTTATATGCTGTGATTAGAAGCCCAAATCTAGTTGGGAGATTGGTTATAGATAGAAGCATTGTAACCTAGGATTTATACCAGCCGAGAATAGAAAAGATGTAATAATTAGGGCTGAGTCTATACCACTCTCTAGGAGAGTTGGTTGTGTAATCCACTCGACATGTGAGTTGGATTGTGTTCCTTGACTTGCAAGGTTCTGTTATCACTCTTAAGCTTTTAAGTACATATTTGATTATTGTTCTTGGAGGAAGCTTTTAAGCAACTCTAAGTTGTGTTCTTAGTTAGGAGTAAAGTTGTAAACAGTGGAGTTTAGCTTTAGGTCTTGACTAAGTATTGTAATGGAAATGTGTCTTTTTTTTTTTGCTGTCATGGAAGTGTGTCTTCCTGTTGTGTTGTCCAAACGCTGTCTGTGATTGATGAGGGATAAGGGAGGGCCTCATATCTAGGTGAGTCTTAGATAGAAGTATAGCACGTGTAGTGATTAAGTGAGTAGATCATAAACTGGTATGTTTGTTGTAGGGTCTATGAATGGGCACTATTATAGTGAACTTGTCCCTGGCTGGTATTCCCCCATAGTAGGAGAGTTGCTTCGAACTAGGTTAACCATCTTTGTGTGTTATTTATGCTTTTCAATACTGTTTTATATGTTATAACTTGCATGTGTTGTTTTAAGTCGGATTAGATGTTTCAACATGTCATATGACATCTTAGTTCTGACCAACCAGAATTTCAATTGGTATCAGGGCAGACATCTTGTTCTGTTTCTGCGTGAGATCTTGGGATGATACTTTCTGGTCATGGGCAAGGAAGGAGGTATCTACTGAAAAGCTGTTTGAACTTGGATAGTTTATATTGTTTGAATGGTTCCTTGAAGTGGAAAATGGACTATTCGTGACAGGGTTGTGTTAGACCTGTCTGTTGTTTTCAGGCTTGTAGCTTTGGTGGTGAGCTGTTGTGTTAGGTTTGATTTATTTTCAAACCTAAGGTTGTTTTGCTTGCACTTAGACTGAGGTGATTGTGTGCTAGGTGTTTGTGTTGTGCCTGAAGGATGTCGAGGAGCGTTTGGTGTGTGTTTCCACTGCATTGTATCTGTTGTAACCCCAGTCGGTATGGCATTAGGGTTTGGTCTCCTCATCATGTTTATTCTATGGTGATGGGATATGTGCAAGACTGTTTCAACCAACTTTGTAACGTAGCCAAGGATACTTGAGTTTTATTTCTCAAGTCCACTCATAAAGGCACTTTAGTGTGTGGTTGATTTATTTTTCAAGAAACCTGACATTAATTTGACAGTATATTGAAGAAAGTATAGAGCCATTTATTTTGGCTTCTAAAAAAGTCTTCCTAATTCTTGACCTAATTAGGAAACTGACTCTGAGTCTTGTTCTTGTTGGTGTGGTTGGAGCTTTGACTTATTTTTTAAGACCTTGAAGGTGATAAAGGGATGTTTTGATTTTCTGTAAGTAGTTAAGGCTTCAGAACCAAGCTCAGTTTTGTGTTCCAGAAGAAGGGAACTGATGTTCTACCAGATGTTGAGACATCATGTCAGTAGGTGTACAACTTCCAGTTGAATAACAAATGCTCTGGGTTCTAAAAAGATGAGTGGTGATCACATATGTTTCGAACCTACTCCTGATTTGGAAGAGGAGGCATCTGGGTTGTGTATCTAAAATGTTTTATCCAGAAAACATGCCTTAGATTGGTGGGCTGGTTAAATGTTGATCAACCAACTGGTTACTTCTTGGTTCAGTTTATTTCTAATCCAAGTTAGTATAAGTGGAGAGGCTGAGCTCTAGTGTCCAGTAGATTTGTGTCATCTCAGTCAGGTTCCTTGTAACTAAAGGTCAAATGTCAAGGACACTCTCTCTAATATCTGGAGGATCCTTCTGATTAAAGGAGCCAGATTTATGGAATCTTGTTTATGGTTATAGGCCAGATTCTGCTTGAAGGGAGTAATGGTGGTATGCACTAACCACATGTTGTGCTGCTCGAAGGTTATTGGCAATTGGTGAAGAAAGTCATTGGTCTGGAGTTAAAGGAGACTTGGATAATTGTCAAACATAATGTCTTGACATCATTATGTTGAGAATTTATTTTTCTCAATATGACTGGTGTCGTGCCGCAAAAAAATAGAGTCGCCACTGAACTCTATTTATCCCAAAGGAAGGGAAGATATCGAGAGAACCCCAAAGAAACGAATAAGATGGTCTTACAACC